GTAGTTTACATAGGAACTACAGCGACATAAGGTCGTTTTAGCGATGTGTTTACATGATAAAGCAAAAAGAAGCCTCTGACCAGTTTGACTGCCTAGCTATCGGCAAGGCATTGGATAGCATATGCTAGCTAACTAGCTAATACTTCAGACTCTAATGAGTTTATCAACCCTACCTTGAGCGGAAAGCTGCCGCACATTGTTCACAAACTGCTCCAAGGCTGAAGCCATTATTTCCTGGGTCCAACGTGGAGGTAATTTGCACTGTATTTCATTCAAACGTCAGAAACAACTCCGTCCGGACTAAGACAGGGGGCCACACAGCCGCCACTGAGGTGAGGCTATCGCGAGATCGTAAGAACAGAACAGACCGCAAGGAGGTTTAGAGAACCGACCGTTGAATTCTTAAAGGGCCAGCTACCAGATTTGCTGGTAGTATTGAAACACACTTGCTTTTATATATCTATCTATATCTATATATAGATATATATCTATATATATATCTATATATAGATATATATCTATATATATATCTATATATAGATATATATTGCGCGAGTGTGTGTTTATTTAAAAATGGACTTCAACTTCTCTCTTTGAGGACTCGGAAATAAAGGAAGTGACGTACATACCGGGGTTAACGTAGATGTTTTATGGTGAGACCTCTTGTCTAACTACTTTTACAGGACTACTATAGTGCTGCTCCTTTGGGGAAACGAAAATATGATGACATTGATACATTGATAAATATGATTGAATGTATATATGATTTGAATCAAGTTTTTGTTTAAAATTGAATAAATTTAAATTAAAGTTAAGTTTTGGTCTTAGACTTAGACTTAGATGGTCTGCCTCCAGCATCTTCTCTCTCTCTCTCTCTCTCTCACACACACACACACACACACACACACACACACACACACACACACACACACACACGTATTTCATGCACAAGTGATGGATCTCTGGAAGCTCCCCTGTCTGATGCTAAATGTTTTGCCCCTTTACCTATCCATCATTCAGAATAAGCTGTCACATTTGGGCATAAAGAGATGACTGTGCATAAATTGCAATGAACCTAACTAACGACAGTTCTTTAGCCAATAAATAATCACACACGTTGCGTGTATGATTATTGTTGTGGTAAAACCTTCGTATTGTTGTAAAATTTTATATTTTTCACTGTACATGGCTCCTGAAAACAGCGAGGAGTGAACCATCTTGGTCATGTGAGATCTTTGTTGCGCACGGGCTCGTAGTACAGTTTGTTCTTACAGCTGAGCGCTTCTCCCTTTGGTGCAGCAGCTCCAGTTGTTTACTTCTCGTTTCACCTCAGACAGCTCTAACAGCATATGTTGTTTATCTCATATGCTGTGGAATTTTAGAAAGGCATGCCTTGGATGCCGGCCGGCTAATACACACTGACAAACGATACAAAGAGCTCCCGGCAACTGTGACCGCCACAGGCAGGTCACAGTTGAACTGCCCGCTGCGGCTGCTGTGGTGCTAGCCTGTCAGCTAGCCAGCGTCTGTTAGCTCAACTGCCGCTCAGAATGTGAAAAGTTGGACAAAAATTCACAAGGGGCAAATAACAGTGTCTAAAACGAGTACTGAAAGGGGTTTAGCTCCAGTGTCTGGAATTATTTTTGTTTGTGTAAGTCCCATGCCGACTTTACAAGCTGTTTCTGCTGACTGTTTGGAGAGGGCAGAGACCGAGGGCGTGAAAAATGTTGCTGCTTAGTGCAACACGCCTACTAGGAAGAGGGAAAACCTTGCTCCGAGATCCCATTAAGAGGATTTGCGCAAACATGTCGTTCATCTCTCGTTCCGGGAAGAGACTGCGGGTCCTGGTGGACATGGACGGAGTCCTGGCGGACTTCGAGGGGGGTTTCCTGAAGAAGTATCGGGCCAGGTACCCGACGGAGCCCTACATCACCCTGGAGGACAGGAGAGGGTTTTGGGTGTCAACGCAGTACGGGCAGCTGAGGAGTGACCTTTGTGTGAGTGACAGCAGCACTAAATATAGTGGCTGAAATTCAACTTAGGCTTTCTCGATTTGGGTTTTTTATTTTTATTTTTTACAAGTTTTAATTCAAAAGATTGTCTGTCTCATTTACATATGGTTAACAGTCAAGTTTCTGACTGCTCTGGACTGGGACCTTTTCAATAGGGTGGTACAGGAGTATTTATGGAAGAGGATTATGGCCACTGGGAAAAATGGATTTTTTTGTCAGAATTCTGAAAAACAAAAAACAAAAGATGGCCCCACTTTTTCAGTACCTTCTAATCTTCTTAGTAAGTATTGGACTATTGCATTGCAATATTTTCATCCAGAATACAGTGAAAATTAGAAGAAAGTAGCATAATATGAATGGACATTAAATGCTGGAATTTTTACAGTGGAAGCAGAATAATCACATGTACTACATTGCAGTCTACTACTGGTCTCGTGCATGATTTAGACTTCTGCGGCAAATCTACATCATAGTATAACTGGAACTGCAAATACCTTTAAATGTTTCTGGTTAAAAAGAAACAATAAATAGTTTAATCGTACTCCGCAACCTTCCACGTAACCCGAGAAATGTAACTACATGTCGGGTCAGACTATATGGCATGGAAGGTTATGGCATAGGAGTTTACAGTTACAGTGTAGATTTCCCGCAGAAGTCTAAATCAGGCATTATCCTTGCTCTCATCCCATGGCTCTGGGGATTGTGAGATTAACAGCGCTCTAGCTCAGTAGCATTAATTAGGATTGGGGGCTGGTGTCACCCCCGCTTCATGTGTAGACACAGCCATGGATGCGCATTCTTGAATTGGTTTGTGTGGATGAATGACTCAACCTCGATTTCCTTGTGGTTCACTTTAATGTGAAGTGTTGAGCAGTTCACTCACTACTCCATTTGATTATGTGTTTCCTTCAGTGTCTTAATTCACCTACTCCAAGCAAGAAGCAAAGTGCTACCTTGTAATCATGTCCACAGAAGTTGGCCTTTTGGACTTTACTTCTTCAGGGCTCATGAACACTCACGTGGATACACATACTGTACATGCACCTGATTAATTTACACGGTTGCAGATAAGCTGTATGCATGTGTTTTGTTTCCTTTTTTAAACTCCAGGAAAAAGCTATCAGCATCTGGGAGTCCAAAGGTTTCTTCATAGACTTGGACCCGCTACCAGGAGGAGTGGAGGCGGTCAAGGAGATGGCCGAGATGAATGAGTAGGTCTTGGAAGTTGCAGTGCATTTATCTCACATACACAAAAGAGACTGAGAGGAGTTCTTGTTGTATCACAAGTGGCTTAAATCACCATAATGGTATTTGCATGTAGCACTTTGATCAGAAGGGAGGTGGGGGAAATGGTGTTCTGAGTTAATATGTATTTAACTTTGCAAAATAATGCCAGGCTCTGTGGTTTGTTTATCATTTTCCACACAGTTTCACCCTGTTTAGTTCACTTTATCTGACTTCCTCCACAGTCTCTACATTTAGCTGGCTGCATTTTAAGGCTCTGTTTTCATACAAAAGCCCTGCAAAGCAGCAATGGCCTGCTCAGCCCAGTTTACAAGAAAAGCTGGGAGGCAGGAAGCCTGAAATGAGTGACTGTGCTCCTAAACACATCAGCAAAGTGTTTACCTGGGACAGGTCAGAGGGCTGTTTTCCCATAGACTTTTATAAGACCAGGTTTTCTTTACACCTGCACCTATCCCCCCCTGATGGTCATTAAAAAGAAAGCATGTTTAAGACACTTGGCATTGGCGTCCTTTTTAGGCCCAGAAGCGACAGTGTTATGTAAAAGCCATGCGCCACCATTTCTTCACACTCTCCTATGAAAATGGGAAATGGGTGCCGCAACAAAAGAACGGTGAAAATTGAGCTACTGGGCAGAAGGAAAAGGGGAACACACACAGAAGATTTATCAATGTAGTGAAGGAGGACATGTAGAGGGTTGGTGTGACAGAAAAGGATGCCACGGGTTGGGTTAGACAGGGAACGCTTAAAGAGAGCTGAGGGAAGAATCACAGTATATAACAGTATACAGTATATAATGAGCTTGAAAGTCAATATTTGGTATGACCGCCTTTGTTCTTCAATACAGCCAGTGTTGTGTGCTTTTTGTGTTCATAATTCCACCAATTTTGACAACATCCCCAACTTTACTGGTTAAAATAGAGCCCCAAACCATGACAGAGCCTCCACCATGTTTTATAGGCAGCTGTAGAGACTGAACAAAAAAAAAAGAAATTTGGATTCATCACTCCATCAGACCTGTCGCCACTGATTTTCAGTCTACTTCTTATGTAGTTTGGGATACGTCAGCCTTTTCTCTCTGTTTCCCTTTCTTAAGCACAGGTTCTTGACAGTCATCCTTCCACTGACACAATTTCTGACAAGGCTTTATCGAACAGTAGATCAACTCAAGATACGTCTCTCTGATCTGTTTTCAGCTCTTTGCTTGATTCTTTTTTTCCCTAGTTCTTAAAGATATGATTTTCAGATACTGTTCATCTCCTGTTCTTCTTTTTTCATTCACCTGTTCAATTTCCTCAAATTCTTAAGAACACACTCCACACCATGCTGAAATAAGGCAAGTTTTTGGCTAATAGCTCTTTGTCAATCACCTTTTGGTGACAAAAAATAATGTTTTATGCTTGTTAAGCTGAGCAATCTTTGACATTTTTCTAAGATTGAACTGACTTTACTGCACTTTTTTTTAGCTTCCACGGAACCAAATACAAATTAGGATTGGCTCAAGACTTTTGCACAATACTGTACATCCATCTTTTATTCTGTCTGTGATTTTTGAGACAGATTGTGAACGCCTCCTTTTGATGGAGGTTTTTTCTGTTTTGTCTGAACCTGACCAAATGAATCAAGTCAGAAAGCCCCTGTTGCTCATTCCAGTCACTCACAAAAGCCAGCAAGACTAGATTCTATAACATACACGTAAATTTGATATTTATGTTTGGAGCACATTTTATATATTTTTTACACACATTAAAACAGTGATTGTGTTTTGGATCCTCAACGCTGCCAAAACAGAGACAACTTGCCACTCAGGGCTGTGCCTGAAGGCATCAAGCGTCGAGGCTGCCGTACAGCCTCCTAGGCCTGGCATCAGTAGTGAATGTGATGGTCTGTTTGTCTGTCTTCTCTGTATGATCTATTTGTGCTCTGCAGTCAGTGACAGCAGCAGGCCATAGGGACAATTACAGACACCTGGCCTCCATGTTGTGTCACCACACAGCCTGTCTTTGTGCGCGCCAGCACCACGCTGTTCTCCCGTTCACTCAGCCTCACGACTCAGATGGCCCCATGCTGTGATATTTTCAGTATTTTTTTTTTCCCCTTTTTCTAATAAATGATTTAAAACACATCACCCCGAGTCTTACTCGGGGACGGTCGCGTGTAGTTTTTGATGATATTTTAATAAGTGTGATCTGAATCAGCGTGACACAGACTGTGACTACTTTTTTTTTTTTTTCTGGGATTATTCTCAGAGGAGAATGCACGTGAATAACATCTAAAAATACCAAAAGTTATGAACTTCGCTTACATTTCTTCTGCTGCTAAAAATGAATGGCTTTCTTTAGCCACCAGTGCCTGAATGTGCACGTTCTCCCATCAGGGTAATGCACCATACACATGATTTCATGTTTACTGGGAACCTTCCCCACATGAATTCCTGTCATAAAAGTTCAGGCCTAAGCAGCTGGAAGGTAAACATAATACTGTGTGTTTGTAACTTTTCCACTCTGGTCTGTTTGTTTCCCTTTGTTTCTGCAGCACAGATGTCTTTATTTGCACCAGCCCTATAAAACATTACAAACACTGCCCACATGAGAAGGTAGGCCTACTGCAAATCAATAACAAATATCCATTTCTCTGTGGAAATGATTAATGTGTTCCACTCTTTGCTGATGAGATCTCATCTGCTGTGTGTGTGTGTGTTTTTGTCTAGTATGCCTGGGTGGAGAAGCATCTGGGCCGTGACTTCCTGGAACAAGTCATTCTAACCCGAGACAAGACGTTAATCACCGGCGACCTCCTGATAGACGACAAACCCGACATTCTAGGTGAGGCCTCCGTGGAACTTTGTGTGGGTGCACTTTTGTGTTTATCATGATTCTTTTATTTTAATATTAATGCTCTAACAATCTTTTTAGGTTATTTTTTGTCTGTGAAGCGATCTGCTCCGGTTTAGCCTCTATGGCTTTCATGAAATAAAAACAACATTTTTGAACAATAAGTTTAGCTAAACAAAAACAAAAAGCATTCAAACTACTTATTTTTAGCTTGCTTCATTTCATTTTGCAAATTTCAGTAGAGCGCTGCAATCGCAGTGCATTCTGGGTAGTCAAGGCCATGTTGTCGTTCATAAAAATAAAGATAGATGCTAACAAATAATGAGGGGAAAACGCACTAATGCCCACTGAAAAAGCACCTAAATGACCTATGAGAAGATCAGCAGCACAATAGGATACAACAAGATGCTAAACAACAAGGTTAAGGAGTGTTATTTGATCCATCCATCCATCTTCCTCCACTTGTCCAGTTCAAGGTCTCAGGGAAGTCTTTCCCTGCTGCCATAGGAAAAGAAACACAGTACGCACTGGACAGGTCGCCAGTCCGATTCAGGGCTAACATAGAGAGACAACCATTTGTACTCACATTCATACCTATGGGCAACTAAGAATCCCCAATTAGTCTGAAGCTGAAGTACCTGTAGAGAATCCACGCAAGCATGAGTGATGGTGGATTTGGATCCAGGATAATCTTCCTGGACTTGAATATGGGAACACAAAGAATGGTAGTCTTGAGAGCTGAAAAGAAGCCAACTAGACTTCTTTAGGTTTTGAAGACATTTCACGTCTCATCCAAGCAGCTTCTTCAGTTCTAGAATAATTGGTAGCGAACTCTTCCAGTAAAGGTGGTCTTGAGGATTGTTAACCCACTCTTAGTTATGTGAGATATTATATGAGCCAACAGATGACAGAGGAAACCTCTGTTAGACGTTACCCCACCCCACCGTCATGTGAGCGATTGAGGTCACCTAAGGCAAGGTGTGAGTGGTTGAAACACATGGGAAAAGAACTCGGGAGCATATGTGGCTGATGGCTGGTGCCATAAGCCACCGCCTCTGTTCAATGACAGCTGTTTACAGCGGGTCTAGATGGCCTCCTTTATTCCTCTCTTAAACCCTTTCTTCGTCCAAAATGTGAACATTGATGTCCTCAAAAGACAGTCCTTCCTTGTTTTCCTAGTCCTAAAATCCTTTCCCAGGTGTTTTCATGCGCTGACTTTTACAGGTGAGCCGAGACTATACCACTGAAGGTCATTGATAATGCTAGCTGGGTTTCCACACAAAGCGCAGATCATAACTGATCTCCGAGCCGTGAAAGCAGTGCCTGCAGCTTACCTCACGCACTGCTCTCTCATCAGTTTACCATGAAAAAATTTGTACTTACCCATCTAGATTTTGTTGGGACTTAAAATCCGGGGCTAAGCCAAGTTGGTTGGCCAACATAGGCAGTTGTCTGTAGCCTTTTGGAGGATATTTCATAAAGGTGACAGATAATGATGGTTGTGTGCAACAGCCCATCCAAGAAGTTTGTATTCCAGATCTAGTAAAATTCAAGCATTTTATTAGTCTGTGATGTAGTGTTTAAATTAGCAGGTGTCGGAGGATGCAGCTTGGTAAAGAAACCAGTGTTAGCTGAGTCTAAATCTAAGCCAAAAACATGGCAACACTGGTGCTATAAAATGTAGACTCCAAAACAAAGTGATGAATGAACATTATGTTGCCATTGTTCATTGTCTATACACAGTTTATGCTTTGCCCCCTGTCATGCTAAAGGTAGCAGCAGTAATATTGCATTAGATTGCTAGAATGAAATGTTTTCACACCTGATTACATTTTTATTCAAATTGTAACCATCATGCTAAAGCAGCTGCAGCTTTCCAAATGTGCACATGCTTTGGTGTGACGGTCAGTTTTTCATTACTTTTTTTTTTTTTTATCAAAAGAACACATTTGTACATTAGTCATTTTTTCAAACGGAGTTCCAGAGTGCAAAGATTTTTTTACGTAATAATGTGCAGATACACACTAATGTCTGATGCTGGCTGTGAGTGCACATTTGCCTGAATAAAAAAAAACATCTTGAAATGCTGAGTATTTAACTTATGAGTAGATCTCAAAGTTAGTCGGCTTGAGTCGTGTAAATTATTGCTGCCGCAGTTAATTCAGTAGGAAAGTACAGTAGTTCACTGATCTGAGCAGATCAGGGATGATAACTATTATTTTTAAATCACTGAAAGAACAAGAACAAATGAAGAACAAAGCAAAATCTTCAAAGAGGACTTTTGCATAATAATGTTTGTGAAACTTGGTGTGGGTGTTATAATTATTTGCATCCATTTTCAGTGCTTTGATTGCCTCATGAGGCAGCTGCTGCAGTGTTCCTATGGTCTGTCAGGACAATTTATATCCTTCACACACTTAAATACAGGGAGCTGCTACTTAAATAATGTTTATATTTCTGTGACTTGGACAGGTGTGGAGCCAAATCCACCGTGGGAGCACATCCTGTTCACTGCCTGCCACAACAAGCACCTGCCCCTCAGCCTCCCCCAGAGAAGACTCCTGTCATGGTCAGATGATTGGAGGGCCATCCTGGACAGCAAAAGGCAGTGAGGAGCTCCTGCACGGCTCAGCCCCACAGCAGCCTGGCATCAGGGTTAGTGGAAGTTCTGGGGTTCGCTGCTGTTGCCTTGGCATCCTTGTTCTCCACTAAGTAGGGTGTGGAGGCTTAAGCGGGATGAGCAGTTTACGTTTCAGGTTGAATGGAAGTGCTGTACAAGAAGACTGTTGATCCAGTCTGTTGGAAGAGGATGTTCACTTGCTCGACCACAAGGGGGCACTCTGACACTTTGTATGAATTTGTGTTGGCGACCAGATTTTGAACAATCTCACTGAATGAGAACAACAAAAGGAGTTCATAAAACGATACATGGTAAGTGGAAAGGACAGATTGTGTTGAGTGACCTCGGCAGTTATGGACTCAGTTTGCATTCTGGATGTTTCTCAGATTCAGACAAAATGGATTTCTGAGCCACTGCGTGGTCTATCTGTGGCCTTCATCGCAAAAGGCTTATCAATATTTAACTGCACCGTGTTGCACTCGTGAGTCAGTGTGATGTGATTCACAACAGGGCACTCCGCTGCACCCAAAAAAGCTCAAAAATACACCCTGAGTCGTGGGCACTGGCGAACACAGAAACACAGGACAGTGACTTGGAGTCAAAATTACTGTTCTATTAGGTTGTCATTATTTTGCATGTATTGTGTAGGTATGTGCCATGTCACTGTTATGTAAATGCAAAAGTACTGTGAAATCCACTCTGGTTTTTAAAAAGCTTAAAAGCCTACATGGGTGCTCTTTTTTTACAATATGTAATTGTTCAATATTTCACTGATACACAAATGAGAAAAGTAGCTGCACACGTGCATCTTGCCCAACATTGCTAGTGTAGATTGTTGTAGGCACTGAAGACTGAGTAACATTGGTTCAGTGTTGGTTAATAATGAACCATTATTCAATATTAATATATCACTGACAAGTCCATATGTTATTCAAAATTGTGGTAGGGTAGCTTTGCATGATTCAGTTCATAATAATCATTATTTCGTTTACATTGGACCCTTCTGCCACCTCGCAAGTTCAACGTTGGTCATAGACAAGCCATACCCCCCCCTTCCCTCCCAAAGCTAACTTTGTTCTGATTGGCTATCCCTCACAAACAGGAGTTTGCATCAGGTGTATGGAGAATTCTGTAGGGGCTATTTGTGCACACATTGGCCTCATTATTTGAAACTTTGCCCATGTTTAATATAAATATCCACAATTGCAACAGCATGGATATGACAGAATGCAGAATAAGGAAAAGTGGAAATCTATAGGAGCGGCAACAGTAATCACTATGTTTTATAAGTGGTATGTCACCATTCTGTTCATATTTTTAGAGCCGGGGTGTCCAACTCCAGTCCTTCAGAGCTACTGTCCTGCAGCTTTTACATGCAACCCTACTCAAAGACAGCTGAATCAAATGACTGGATTACCTCTTCAGCACACTATCAAGTTTGGCAAAGGCCTGATAACAAGCCATTCATTTGATTCAGGTGTGTCAGAACAAGGATGCATCTAAAAGCTGCAGGACAGTACCTTTTGAGGACTGGCGTTGGACACCCCTGTTTTAGAGCTTGTTTTCAGAAGCATGTCGCGCAAGATTTAAGTTGTAGAAAATGTTTTAATAATCCAAAAATAAAGTTTTTATTTCAGCTTGTCATTAATTACTTGAAAACTTGTATTAATTTTTAGAAACTATATTTTTATTATATTTTTTAGCATTTATAAAATGTATAAAATCACCACTTTCTCAGTGTCACTGTCCTGCTTCACTCATTTAAAGGGGACCTTTGTATACTCGTTTACAGTTTTATTCACCAACTCTACTAGAGTATGTCTGAATATGATTCACAGTTAAAAATACCTAACCTTGGTGCGGCACCTAATTTCATACGTTCTCTGAGGGAAACGTGCCAATTTCCTGTGTGCCTGCAATATTTGCACTCTCTGACATCATACAGAGCAAAGAGTTGGGAAAAAAGTACCTGAAATGGAGTGTTTAGTGCATTCTCGCTTTTTCTTACTTGCACCGATGCTAACCTCATTGGAAACTTGATGCTTTTAACATGAACACCCATCAGAGTAACAGCACCTGTAGCTAGCAAAGCAGTAATAGGTCCCCTTTAGGATACACAGACGATATGTAGATGCTGGGATAAAATGCTTTTTAATTTCTGGTATATTTTTCAGGGAACTACGCAGTAGATGCTAATTATGTGTAATGAAAGATGTATGTAATGCTGAGTGCTTGTTTTTTTGTGACTAGCTTATACATATTCAAATGTCAGTTCAATCCAAATGCAAATGTTTGTTTCTGCCAGTGAAATGTTTAGATCCACCTCTATTAAAACCCATGCAAAAAAACAATAACTTGATGACTTGGACATCTTCTTTCATTTAACAGTGCCATTAAAAGTTTCATTGGCTTTGGTTGTTTTTATATTTTTTTTCATTAAAATGCATGCTGCTTAGTCACATGAAATCATAGATAACTTCCTGCCAAAGTCTGGAAACATGCCCACACTCGTGGTTTGACATTCTGGCACTTTTGGGGGGAGGTTTAACTAAACATGAAGAACGCTCCTCTTTGTGGTCTTTGTTGTAGTTGCTCTCTGCACTGATCATATCAGTTGAGGAAAAAACCTCAAGAAGCTGATGAAATGATTTGTACAGCTGGAAGTGTTTAATTTTCTTGAGCTCAAAAAGAAGGCAGCTGGACTTCTTTACATTTTTGAAGATGTTACTGTTGCATCTAAGAGGTTTCTGCAGTTCTTGCCCAGACTGTCATGACCTGGATGACAAAGAACCTACACAGACAGCTGTTAATTTGATTAAACTCACTGCTACGAAGCCCAACAATTCATTTAACTTTTGTTCACATAGCACCAATTCAGTCGCCTCACTTTATATTGAAAGGTAAAGACTCTTCAAAATTAGAGAGAAAACACCCACAATAAGATGATCTCACATGAGTGAGCACTTGGTGACAGTGGAAAGGAAGAACTCTCTTTTAACAGGAAGAGCTTTGGACATCTCTGTTGGCATCTCAGATGTTGGGATCACATTTCACTAAAGAAAGCATGTGTAATGACATTCTGTTCACAGATTTAGATGTGAACAGGTTATGTAAATCTATTGCCCTGAAGCCAGTGTGCAGACTAGAAGGGAGCTTGGGCGAGCGTTGCTGCTCAAGAGCATAATTTGCAATGGTTTTTGTTTTCATGCATCATGCTCAAATCATCTGTAAAGCATTCTGAAAAAGTGGCTGCCTCACCGTCTCTGTTCAGTGCATACTTTATATCAGATTTCTCATTATGATTTTTCATGTTCTTCCAATAAATCCACAGCGAATGGAGCACATTAGGGTCAGCAGATGACATAAGCGTCATGAGCAGCTGGCTTTTCCACAAAACGTCACGGTTAGAAGAAGATTATCAACAAAAGCAGCTTTTATGTCAGAATTGTACTCATTGTGGTCCTCAATAAACATTGCCTGCTTTCAAAACGTATCTTCTCTGATTGATGTGAGATCAACGGAAACGAAAAAGACACTTGAGTAAGAAAATCAAGCTAAGAAAGAAGTGTTTTGGTCAGAAAATGGTACAAAGAAACGGTGTAAAAGCCTTGTGAGCAAAGAGAAGAAAGACTTCTTTAAAAAAAACTGGGCTTGATGGCATGAGTCCTCTGTTCTTGTATAATATTATTGATATAGGTTGTTTCTATTCCTGCATCAACTTATTTTATTCAACTTAACTTTTAATTTTGCTTCTGTTATTCATGGGTTAAGAGGAAACTGATTTATTATTTATATTGGGCCTCAAAATGAGGGCTGGGATTGCTTTAAAGGTTATTTTTCCAAGTCTATATTTTTGGGGGGAAATAGCAGTGTCAGCATAAAATTATTGACCCCAGCCTGTTTGTGTTTCCTGTCAATACTTCCGTCTACAGTCAAGTAGGTCAGCTGTCTCCCAGCTGCTGGAGGAACCTTTCTGTGCTTTTCGTTCCATGCGATTGCCTTCATGGCCAAGTTGCTGTTAAAACAAACGTGTGTGTCAGCAAAAAGCCTTTGCATACATGCTTTGTGTGTGTTGGATCTGTGCCAGCGTCTTTTTTCTTAATTGTGAATGAATGTTTCATGTTTCTGGAGCTAAACATTTTTCCTCATTGGCAGGCTCATAATTTCATGGGAGTAGGAAAAAAAATCCCTGTGACTCCATTGACGTTTCTATAATTTTGTTGTTCTATATTATTATTTTGTTTTTATTTCTGGTTTTATTTTCAAGCACTTTTTTATCTGTCAAAAGTGCACTAGAAATAAATCTTCTATTTTACTTCTTCTGTTTCAGTTTTATCGTAGTTGGTCTCAAAGGTGATGTTTAACCACTTGTGTTGATGTTTCAATCAGACAGTGACTGGTGCTGTATTTTTCAGTTTTTTCAGTATAATATTTGATCATTTTTGTCACAATTCAATTTAATTTTCCACATTGCCTCTAAACAAATGTTTTCTTGTATTTCAGATATGGACTGGATGAATATATCCCTTTGCAAAGAACTGTTTTCGCAGCATTTTCCTACATCAGGGGACTGTTTTTATTGCCAGTATTTGATGAACATTTTGAGCTTTCCAAAACTAGAGCTTATGTAATATAATCGGATAATGATGGCAGTTCATTTTAAAATCTGGCTGGTGATTAACCATAATTTTGTTTTTGGCAGAGCTTGCAAACGTAGCTGTCTTTCTGGCCGAGGTATAAAATTTTTTTTAAAATCACACGCATTTCGGTGACTTTTTCCCCCTCAATTATCCAGTCTGTCTCACTGTGGTGTGTAAGGACACAAGGTCATAGATGACTCACAGAAACCAGAAATCCAAGGACATATTGCTATAAAGCTTCTGTCATTTCCTAACTTCATTTAATGCTTGTTGCATTAGCGCTGGGTCCACAGGAAACTCATCCTGTTGTGTGGATTTATGCTGCATAAAACCAAATTTCATTCCACTAAGGTGTCTCAGGCTTTTCATGTATACTCATTTTATAGCCACTCATCACTTTTTACTGTTATTATTATTTTTTACCTTTTCATTCAGTCAGATTGATGCTGTTTGTCCTTTGCTGAGTGAGGCTATAAATGTGAGTGCACTGTAAGTGTAGGACCTGTGGAGGTGTTTAGAGTGTTTGTGGAGGGGGTGGAAGTGAATTGGAAGTCTTTTGGGAACATTTCTGGTTTATTTCATGTCAGCAAGATGCTATAAAACAACAGAAAAAACAGCAAAATACAAAATACAAGGTGAACACATTGACTGGTGAAGCTTAGCGTTTTAGCATACTGTGTGTAAAATCATTGGCAATCTAAAATGTTATTGAGTGACATATCTGTGTGATTACAAAACAAGCGTGCGTCCGTTGGCGTCATCACACCAAAAATATATCAGGCCTCACATGTAACTTCTCACTCAGTAATGATATGGTAGGCCTTCAAATGCAATGAAACGTCAGTGAAAAAAGACAAACAACAGTGGAAATCAGTCACGATTAGATTCTCTGGATTTGGGTCTACATGGAAACTGAAAGGTTGTCAGTCAGAACACTTTCATCCATAATATCAGCTCACGGGACACCAGTGTTTGCTCTCTGGCGTAACAACAAGGTCCACTGACAGCCATATTTCTTCTGAATGTGTCATTTTACCTGGTGGCAAAACAGTGTGTTGATCTAGGTTTCATGACGATTGGCTTTGGCCCACATTTCCTTTGCAGTTACCACAATATTGTCTGTCTTTTTTTTTTAATATCATAAAAAGTTTACGTACCTTGCACTCCAAGTATGACAGGGCATTTTTTTAAACATAGATGAGTTATTAAGGAGGGCAAAATTTGCCAGTGATGTCCAATGTGCTCTTTATCTTGGTAAATAATAAAAAAAAAACCTTGCTGACATTGCTCTACTTGATACTAAGTAGATGCATAAAGATACTCTGCAGGAGGCTGAATCGCGCTGTCATATAATCTGCTGGCTGCTGCTTTTTACGGCTGATTTCCCCACACTGCTTTATAATCACATTGCTTATGTTCTACACAAACAGTGTAATATGATCTACACTGGAATTGGTAATTTGTGATAATTTATGCAGGTGTTTTCACAACCTCTGCCATGTTGTAGTCACTGAGTTAGTGGGTTTAACAATGTTTTTTAATGTATGATTATTAAATAATGGTAATGCAATGTAAAATAAATGACACAGATTAGGCCCTTAGAGCTACAGTGAAAAGGAGGATCATTTGGGGAGGACTCAGACTACAGCTTGCTATTCCTCCACATTGAAATTGGAGCATCTGACTAGGATGCATTGGGCATGTCCCTGGGGCAGATCCAGGATACAATGAAGAGATTATGCCTCCTGGCTGGCTGTCTTC